GTATCCAGAGCTTTAGATAATTATATTATACGTCAAAAGTCCACACAGGCTGGTTTAGTTACTTTAGAACGAATTGACAAAACTAATTATTATTCTCTACTCTGTTTATTAAAATGTAATCTGCGATTATAACATTTTAAAAGTCGCCACTATATACTCTAAATGGCTAAACTTACAAACACGTTCCAGATCTAGATCTCTCACTAACTTTGTCTTATTTTCACTAACTTACTTCTTGCACTAACTTTGTCACCTATATATATTGCCCGACTAAGGCCTAGAACTTTCTACAAATTACGAGACGTTATAATGTAACAAATGCTTCATAAACAGTTACATAAACAAACTTCCCATAACTATTGCTTCTAAAAATAACTTACTTTAACGTTCGCACGGTATAAACTAAATAATACTCTAGTACTGAATTTAAATGAAAAAAACAGTGGTGTATCTCTAACATGTTATCACAATTACAATTAAAGTTGTACAATGTCTTTCTTAAGAAATTAATAACACTTACAGTATAGTGAAATAAATGTAACATATGACAACAAAGCACTTATATGCAGCAGGATATTGTAACATTGCACTAGAAATGAAAAAAACAGTGGTGTATCTCTAACATGTTATCACAATTACAATTAAAGTTGTACAATGTCTTTCTTAAGAAATTAATAACACTTACAGTATAGTGAAATAAATGTAACATATGACAACAAAGCACTTATATGCAGCAGGATATTGTAACATTGCACTAGAAAGCACTGTGAGAGTGCATCAGAATAACGTGGAAATGTATCAGGAACAACTACGTTAATATTGAAGTATGTTGTTACCACTTTGCTAGGATCAGCAGAATATTACATCATGGCAGAAAGCATTATGACCCGATAGCAATATAGTGTTCCGGTGTACCATTGAATAGTATAATAGAACTGTAAAGTGAAAAAGTAATATAAAAGTATAGCATTATATAGTGTTTTCGGGGGTATCAAAAAACTCTATGATAGAACAATAGCTAATGTTACAGCTGGCCAGAAATAACTACGATAAGGAAACAAATAAATGTTACATCGTGCCAGAAAACACTATGAAAGGGCAACACGTTAGCTTACAGTGCTCCAGAAATTAGTGTCAGGTGTACTGTAATAGGAGAGCAGGATAATGTAACAGGTAAAAGAGAAATAGTACGATAGGGAAACTGGTAAATGTTACACTATGTCAGGTAGTTCTATGGTAAGTTCTTGGGATAATTACAGTGTGTCAATAGGTAATCTTATAGAACAACAAGGTAATGTTACAGTGTGATAGTTTCTGTCATCATACTGAGGTGAGTAAAGGATAAAATAAAAAAATCAGGACATAAATAGTGCTTCAGAGTGACAGAATACTAAAAAATAGCAGAATAAATACGTTTCAGAAAGTTTTATGATAGTTCAGTAGGGAAATGTCATAGTGTGTTAGAAAGTGTGACAACATTCCTCTATTAAAAAATAGTGCTATAAGGCAGTATTTTAATGGCACATTGTGTCACAAATTACTGGTTTAAGACACCAAGATAATGGTTTCAAGTACTACAAACACTAGAAGCTAATAGGTCCGTGTTAAGGAATTTGATAAGTTGAGAAAACAGGTTTCAGACAAGTTGCAGACAGATTTAGTTCGTCCATAGTTTCATTGTAATTTGTGGCAGAAAGCCACTGTTATTACATTAAAGAATTTATTATATATACGATAACGCTTAAGCTAAGAGTGAAGTCAGAGGGCAAGGTGACAGAAGATATTTAAGATATGCGTAATTAGAAAGCTCCAGTTCTATGTTTGACTTGTTCTTCAGTCATACAGGTTAAATATTTCAGCTTTAAATTACAAAAGGTAGATTTAATGACTTAGAACGATAAATTCAGAGCCCAGTTTAATTTGTACGAAAGTATTGTGATCGTGGTACTCGCCTTGTTGGCATAAGTGTAATTAATATTTAGCAGAAACATTAGCCGCTCTAACAAAACTAAAAAGTAGCCATTACATTCATTTAGACTTGGAAATACCTCTTTTTTATAGTAAATAATATTTTTTAAAAAATGGGACACTTTCTGTACAAACTCAAAAACAGATCTCAAATATTTCTGTTCCCATACAGAAAAAAAAGCTACAAAATCAAACATAAAAAAATATTTCTTTTCATTTATCCAAATTTTAATTTATATTTCTGAAGTCAGTATTAAAAACTACATTCAAAAATATATATTCTTTTCTATTTGAACGCGGTGCATGAAGCAGAAAAGATCCCCTTAATTTGTTCATCCGTTTTGTTAGTTAGCAAATTATATTATTTGATTATAGAAACATCTTAATAGATTTCACACAGAATAAGCTAATTAGATTGTTTAATTTATTGCAACATGCCTAACACATTTCAATTGAAGCAAACGAAATATATCTAAATATTGTAAGATTTTAAAGTTATTTCATTAGTAGCAATGTTTGTAAATCATTCATTTGCTCCAACATTCTTATAAAATCTGACATGCAGGGAGTTAATTAGATTGATTATTTATTTACATATTATCATGTTAGTTAGCATACGACTAGGTTTTAAGTCATTTATTTAGAGAAACATTCTATTGATATTGTAGGTTTGAGAACTTTAATGGACTGTTGAATTAAAAGGGGGCAACTGTTCCAGCTTCTATACTGAAAGCCTCAGTGCAGTAGGCGAAACGTCGTCCCATTTTTATTCAACGGGTAGATGCAGTCCTTTAAAGTTCTCAAACCTACTGTGTTTATTCTAATGGAATTTTATATAACATTGTAAATATTTTTTTCTAAATTTATTCCAACATTCCACTGACTGATAAGTACATTACTTAAACACTGCAATGTTTCACTATTATTGAGTATGTAACTTAGTATTCAAATAATTTATATGATATAATATTATAATGAAATTTGACTGAGAGAGTAAGTTATATTAATTATTTGATTTGTTGAAACAATTGTATAAAACATGACAATTGAAACACTCGAAATAAGTCCATTATCAACGAACTACACATCGCGACAGTACAGGGTAATTATACATCAACGAAAATTAAAAGTAATGTGATATATAAGACCTTAATTTACCATAAAAATGTATTAGTTAAAGAATCAGATACAAATCAAAATAGTTACGTTGGAATATCATGTTGTCGTTTTTAAATAAAACAGAATGAACTATCTTTTGGCATTTGATTTAACTAACAAGAAGTAAAGATAGAATAAAAGACATTGTTATGCTTGCAGGTGTTGGGTGATTCCGATGGAAACATATGAATGGGTTATGCACGGTCCTTACCTAGTCAGCTTGGCGGTAAGTTTGAAAATATATATCTATACACATATACAAGGCACTTTTTGTTCTACAGGATAATCTTCCCCTCGTCCACACTTAATAACGTAGTTTAATATTAGTTTTTCATATTAGACCAATATTTTTTTAAGATTTATTTAGAATTAAGAGTTCAAAGTAGAATCGCTTGATGTAATATCTAAATGATGGGCTGCTTCAATACATTACACTGACAGTCCTTTTGCATACTTTCAATAAAACATAAAATGACGACACCAACATATCCACACCACAATAATTGTATTTGTTAAGGTTAAAAAGAAACACGCTCTAAATGTTATTTTTTTTAGCAGGTCACGTATTCTAAAATTCCCTTCTCCGTCCAGTAAACTGATTCACACGATTTTCTATATAATGTACCAGGAAAGTCTATCAATGTCTTTATATTTCTAACTTTATTCAATGACATCGATTATTTCAGCTTAATTTAGCATTCCTGTGTAATATAATACGAGGACTGGTCACGAAGATTAGAGCGACCCATCCGAACGAACCCAGCCAATACAGGTGAGTATCATTTTCTAGCTCAGCATTATATATTTCGCTCCTCTAGCCAACTAAAGGTAGGATGACGTATAAAAATGAGCAGTGTTATTTGGTTTTTAATTATTTCTCATAAATTTGAATTTTTTTCGAGACTTTAGTTTACTAAATCAATTTTACTTTAACATAATGTCCTAAAAAGGATAAGCTTCTTTTCCCGTTGAGCATGGAATAGTCATTTGATGTTTTTCATCACATTTTATCAATCAAAAAGCAAATTGGGTGACAAACATAATGTTAGGAACTAGGATATATCATGACAGCTGTATTAAACTACGTAAATCTGAAACTCCATGCGGATAACATATTTTTTGTCTTTTTATGTACGTATATAATAAGTAGATACAGTTGAACGTTATAACGAAAAGAACGCTAGTAAAGGAAGGCAATGCGTTTTACGAAAATTGATGGGATATCTAAAGTTACACATAGCAAGCCTGGAATTAGTTTATTTCCACTCACGTCGCTATGTTCCCTTCTCTCGCATTTGCTGATAACGTCTTTTAGGGCGATATAAACCTATTTAGCTTGTAGCCCTAAGTCAACATTATCACGCATGTTCTCAGTTATTTTAAGTATTCACAACCTTCTGCAAGTTTTACAAATAACAGAGCCCAAAATAAACTAGTCAAAATATAGATTTCCCAAGTCTTCAGCTTAACAGCATTACTCTTAGTCTAAAATATTTGAATGTTTTTAATATATCAGGTTCAAAAATGTAGCTAGAGAATTAATCTTAAACCTGGTTTTCACAAAATCTCACGTAATAGCACATGTGTCTCGAGAAACTAAGCCTTTTAAATGCTGTTGAAACTTTGATTAACGTAATAAACATTAATTACCAAAATTCCAGGTTGATTGATGGATCACTAAATTTTATATCACATAATTTTCTTGTAATCTTAATCTAATTTTCAGAAACGCTTGAGTAATTCTTAAAATATATGATTAAAATATTTTTATTTCAAATAGTTTTCGTCAAATTCATCTATTATTATTTATATTTTTACCAGTTATTCTTTTTAGTCTTGCACAAATGTGAGAAGGAAGGATTTCATTTCTTTTTGATAAAATGATAAAGTTTATAAGCATGTTAACAAACTCTTAAAGGGATGGTTTGTTTGTTTGTTGTTAAGCACACAGTTGTAAAGTGGGCTATCTATGCTCTGTACACCATGGGTCGATATCGATAAACTTGATTTTTAGCGCTGAGTTTTAATCTTTATTATAAATCAGAAAAGACAACCGTCACGGGAGTTTGGTGATAGTTCAAGATATCTACTTGTTACTCTATAGAATGAAGAAAATAAAATATATTTAGTAAATGTTGGATATTTTACAGAAAAGCAGTCCGTGCTACGTTAGTTCTAGTTCCTTTGTTTGGAGTCCACTTTTTCTTGGATAAGTATAGACCGTCACCTGGAGGTTGCGGCTGGATGGACGTCTATATTTATTTCAACTTTGCTATTGATGGTTTACAGGTATTTGATTGCGATGACTATTTGCTACTGAGTTATTAATTAGCATGATGTCAGATGATTTTTAAAACAGTATGAGAAATAAAGTATCCAACTATCAACCGATTACTAGTGACCTATTATCTATAACATTCATTTTGAAAAGTGAACACGAGCACATTTGGAGTCTTACATAATGTATTAGGTCGTGAAGAAATTAATGCCGAACGACTTATATACCAAAACAAAACATTTATTAAATGAAATTGTCTCCATTCTTATCGATGATGCTTTTCCATCTTACAATCAGGTTGTTAATGCCCTAAGTAAAAAAATCACTTGGCTTTGAAGCAAAAAACATGTCGATATCCTCTTTAACACCTTCCATATTTGCATACGTTTTCCCATAAAGATGATGTTGCAGCTAACGAAAAAGATGGTAATATCATGGTGCCATATCTGGAGAATATGATGGGTGGGGGTTCCCAACCCAACTCCATAATCTTGTATTGCGTCAAACGTGCCACGTGATTACGTGCATTGTCGTGGAGAAGAAGAACACCTTTCTGATTGACGAGTGAGGGGCGTTTCTGGTGAAGAGCTTGATTTAGACTTTAAGTTGCCGACTATAGATCCCTGCATTGACAGTTTGCTGTGGATTGAGGAATTTGAAATGAATTACTCCTTTGATGTCCCACCATATTCAAAGTATCACTTTTTGCGGACGGAGTCCAGGTTTTGGGGTCGGAAATGATTTTTGTCTAGGACTGAGCCATTGGTTTTTGGCGTTTACTATTCACATAGAGAATCCATTTTTCATCATCGGTGACAATTCTGTCCAAAAATGGTTTACGCGCCAGAAGAGACGAAGCAACGTTCACACGTTGAAAACGATGATCATCGGAGAGTTCGTGAGGTACCCAAACATCTTCTTTATGGAGTTTTCCCATATTCCTTAGACGTTTACGTATTGTTTCACGAGAGACGTGCAATTTCAGGGTCATTTCACGAGTGTTTACCTTAGGTTAAACTCAACAAGATTCTTCAGAGCATCAATATAAATTCCAACATGTCGGTCCCTGCCATCACAGTTTTTAAGGCTAAAGTCACCTGAACCATCATTGACACTTACAAAAGTTCAAAACATTTTCACAAACTTCTCTTGATATTCTTTGTGGCTACAGAGGCGTTGTTTCCCTTCTTGTATTCAAAGAGAATTACATGCCGAATATGTGTCTCGTCGTGCGTCATCACTATAAGAGATTAGAGTAAACTAAACTTCACGTATCATATAGGTTACACTAACGTGACGTTTAGGCGGTTCGTTCAGTTATTATACTTGATGTACGTTTTTTTGCGGGTGGTTAATGAAAGTGTTCTAAAACGCGACATTAACTTCTTGACGACCTAATACTCATGGCAGTATTTTAATGATTTAATAACGTTGATGTAATTTTCTCTTACTCAGTGATTTACTTAAAAACAAGCATATAGTAATAATAATTAATTTAATGGAAAACTTCTATTTTATTTTATGCATTTCCTTTCTATTTTTGACATTTTCTTTTGTATTCATATGCATTATTTCCATTTATATATATATATACACTATTCTACTAAACGTCATAAGACACGGGTAGTTATGAATAAAACATGTCTATATTCCAAGAAATTAATAGCGTGCTGGCCTGCCTTTGGCCTTAATGACTGCTTCAATTCGTCATGGAAGACTCTATACTAATTTCTGATGGAAAGCTGGTGATATTGTGCTCCACTCCTCCTTTAAAGTATTAGTAAGCTCCACTACTAAAGAGGGCTGTCTTGGCCTTGCCCTAATTCATCTCAAAGATGTTCTATCGGGTTGAGGTTGGGGCTCTGTGCTGGCCATTGCAATGTTCCGATGTTATTCTCTTCAAACCACGCGTTCACAATCCTTACGTTACACAGGACGCACAGAATTATTCAGAACATCAATGTAGGACTCAGCATTCATGGATCCATGCACTGCGACCAGTGGACCTAGTCAATACCACGAGAAGCGCTCCCAGACCATGGTTCCACTACCTCCATACTTCACTATTGGGACAACACAGTCAGGTAGTAAGCGTTCTCCAGACATTCTCCTTACCCAAACACATCCATCAATGTGGAAGAGCGTGTAGCATGACTCGTCGGTCCATAGGACCGATTTCCAATCGATAGTATGCATTTGTTTTTGTTATCAATGGGCTTTGTGGGCTGCAGCTCTTCCGTGAAAATTCATGACATGCAGCTCTCGACGTGTTGTGGAAACACTTATAGGATTGCATGTGGCTGCTCGTATCTCCAAACATAGCTTCTCTAGGGTCTGACGGCGAGCTGAGGTAACCAGCCTTCTCAAGGCACGTTGGCTCCTGTCAGTCAGTATTTAAACGCCTACCTGGTCATTTCTTGGTCTCATTGTCGTCTGTGGACTTAATTTCTTCAGCACGTTGCCAATTGTCGACCTGGGATGTTTAATTGTTGCGCACAGACATTTTCCCCAAATGACATCAAACTATCCTTCCCTTCTAAAACTTTGTTAGCTCTTTCCCTATACTTATCGTTCGGCGTACAAGTTCGAAATGACTTCAGAGTGAACCGCTGATCACCTTTATAGGCCAAACTATTTGCATATTTCGTCGTTACACCCATTTTCTTAACCATAGGTGTGTCCCATGACTTTTGGTAGGAAAGTGTACTATAGATTATTTCTACATTCACATATAAAGTAATGTCTTTTTATTTTAATTCAAATTTTCAATGTATTCATAGTTTACATTTAAGAAAAATTATTAATCCTTTAAAGTTAAAATATTCAATTATTTTGACAGGCAGTTAACACAACAACATGGATATGATCCATGTATAACAATTTGTAACAGTTTTGGTGATTCACCAATGCCTTTGCAGGAGCATTTGTTTCAGAATTAAAGAGTTCAAAAGTTTGCAAATACTTTCTTTGCTAATTTCAGGTCATATAAGTTTCAAGATCCTAGGAAAGCAGATATCACTACGATTGGTTATTAATTCTACATTTTTGGTCATTTTTATTGAAGGAGGTCTTAACTTTTATTCTAGCAAGTTGTATTTTATTTTCAAACAAGATATCTGTTTTACTTATATAGAATAATAACTATATTATATAATCTCTAATGATTTAAGAACCAAGTATTAACTGCTATTCTATCTATTAAATCTTAAATTCGCTGTTCATTCAGACGACCTTTTGATATTTAAGGAGACTTTATGTAAAACATGTCTGCCTAATCTATTTTATGTTCGTCGAAGTTTCAACAAAGACATATTATTAAATACTGTGAATTTGAGAATTGACGTGACAAATCAGCTGAGAAGTGCGGATTTCGTGTTATCACTTCGATACAGGTTGTACCGAACTGACAGATGAAAGTGCATTCTGACAATATTGTTGAAAGTATACGTTGATACTGACGTTGTGCTACGCCATACCTAGCGCATTATGACAACTGAGAGCAATATATGTAATATTCTCTAGATATATAATATATCTTTATTTTGATCAAGTTTACTTCTCTAAATTCCTCCATAAATTCGCTTCCACAAAGTCAAAACGAAAACTGACAAGTGATTTACTTGCAAGATGTTTATATATTAAGAATAATATTTTGATTATTTCATGTCATCTTTCTACACTCTTTTTAAAAATGAAAGACGAAAGTTTATGTAATAAAAAAGTGTTTATTACTCTCCACATTGTATATTTGTTGTGGTTGTTTTCTTATATTTTTAACAGCTTGCTTCATCTTTCACAGGGATTTGTTGTGGCTTTGATTTTCTGTTACCTGAACGGAGAGGTAAGTTGATTAATATAAAATAATTTAACTTTATTTGTAGCGAACAATTACATATAAATAGACGATTATAAATGTCTTCGATACTATTATTACTAAATGAGACAATAAGCATGTTTGTATTGCATTTCATAAACCCACTTTCCTCTCTTTTGGTTTTGTAATATAATTTTTAACATTTTATTAAGGTGTTTTTGATTTCTTTATATAAAATAAATTGCCTTTTTCATTTTATGCTTATAAATCAGGTAATCTCGCTTCTCAAGAGGTCTTATCAAAGGTACAAACTACGTCACAACATACAAGGTAGTTTTTCCAGCAGCTTTATGGGAGGACGACTGTCAACGTCCACACATATGTCGTCCCTTAATGACTCGGCGTCTCTGGGAATCAGATATCCATTAAGGCATTTCACAAGAGACAGAAGTAACCTCCTGAGAGAAGAAAGCAAAACGACTGAGCTAAAATAAAACCGACCGTTATTTAACAGAATTTTTAAAACTTTAGCAAAATTTAGATGACGACGCAAATCTGTCAGTTACTCTGGATTTGCAGTACACGCATTACATTATTCTACTAACAAACTGTTCTGTGCAACATTGCATTGTAGTGACAATGTAATGAAAAGGAAAAGCAAACCAAATTATTTTCTGAGAAACTCGCATGAACAAAACAACAACATGTTAAAAGCGAAACTTCCACACACGACTATAATCGACTCCTTACAATATTTAAGTATTCAATATGAAGTCTATCTCACAAGGATGTTTAGTATTATTACATTCTAGTTTACTCAGTGTTTAGAACAGCTCTACTGCTCCCCGGTGGCTCAGCGTTAAGCCTGTGGGCTTATAACGCTAAAAAATCGGGCTTTGATACTCGTGGTGGTCACATCACAGCCAGCTAATGGTGTGGCTTTATGTTTAGCGAACAAATTAACTAAACCTACTTCTTTCTTTCAAATAACAACAAAAAAAGTTGGTGTTCATGATCAAAGCATTTTTAAATGTTCACATTATTCAACTGTCTAATATCGAAAACAATTAAAGTTTCTGTATCTAAGCGATTTGTAATTTCACAAAAAAATTACTTGTGATTAACGTAGTGTGTTATTTTCGGAAACTGTGTAATTTTTTATATGTTTCCTTAGCAATTCATATATGACTCCTGTGCTTAACGTTTGTGCTTGATTATTGTAGTATGAATTTGGAAATAAAGATTATTATATGATATTCCTAATCTTCTAATCTTCACAATTTTCTCGTTTCGTCAAGTTTCACCTTTTCTTTTGATTTAAGCAAGTTCATTTAGCAGCCTTTTAACGAACAGAACGATCCGCCATCTTAAAGTATGTTGCCCAATAAACCGTATTGCTGAAACCAAAATTTAATTAACACGACAGAACAACAATCACATAATTGTTATTACTTATAGTTGGGATTGAAAAATAGTGTGATTATTAATAAAGAGCTATGTTATATATTTTATACTCTGTTAAACTTTAGTATCTCGTCCCAACGACGATAACAAAACTGGTAACTCTTCTTCTAGACAGTGTTCCTCCTGTAATAGATAAAATCTACTAACAAAATAAGCAGTGTCACCTGTTAAAGCTTACAACTTCTTGCATGATAGAATAAAATAAATGAATCTTTGATTACTAACACTTGTGGTACATTGTAAATTCTGGCATTACTTGGTATCGTCATGTAAAGTCTGATATGTGGTAATGTCATGCAAGGTGTGATACCATACGGTACCGTCGTGCAAGGTCTAATATCTATGGTATCGTCATGCAAAATCGAATATTATGTGGCACTGTCAGTGTAAGGACTGATATCATATGACATCGTCGTGTAAGGTATAATATCATATGATATCGGCATGCAAAGTCTGGTATCATATGGTACTGGTATGCAAGGTATTATACCGTGTGGTACCATCGTGCAAAATAAAGTTTAATTCCATTAAATAATTGTTTTTAGTGAAAGGACCTTTAAAGCACGTGTGGGACTGTAAAATGAGAAGTACTGAGAGACATACGTGTTAAAGACGTTACTTATACGTTTTCAATTTGCTTGTTATTTACATTAACAAAAGTTTAAAATTGTCGATAGTGTTTTGTTTTAGACAATGCAGTAAATATAAACATTTTAAATAAAACAATAAGTTTCTATCAAAAAAGGGGTAGGTATAGATTATTATCTAAAAGTACCTTCATGTCAAAACACGAACTTACCTGTTTACTTAACTTGTGCAAATAGTGTGATTTAACAACACTGATTTGTGTTCATCAGTGAAACAAGTAAGAAAATAAGTGTTTCATAAATAAGAAGTTTTTTGGGGGGTGTTGGTATATATACCTACTCTGAAATAAGGTTTTCCATATTATATATTACGTAAAAAGTGTTAAATTTAAAGTCACACATGACAGAGCCAGAACGATAGACAGTTTTCGAAATGTAGTATTGAATTTGTATCTTCATCCCGATAAATATTTTTATCCTTCTTTTCACTTGACTTGCAGAAATATTTCACTTCTTTTATTATAATATCGATCGGAGAACATTCAAATAAAATGTTATTGACACAAATAACCCAGTGTCAGATTTAGTGCTTCTGTACAATTTTAACGTAATAACATCTATCACTTCTACTAAAACTTCAATAATATTATTTTTTAACTATAGTACTATTCCGTAGTTTTAAATTTTGAGAAGCGAAGAGGACTCATCGCTTCTCAAAATTTAAAATGTTAATAAGTCCTCTTCAAACTGTATAGAAACGTGGCATATAACTGACAGTTTTCAAGTGTGTGTGTGTGTGTTACATTTTAATAATAATGTTACTTACTTATGTAGACCACAAAAGTAAACTTAAATTTGAAGTAAATTCAAGTATTAAATATTTACACATTATCTACTTATTTATCATATTTATATTTTTATTATTCTTTACATAATGTAAAAGTACATGAAATATTTCAATGGTACAAACTGTTCTTTAAGAGGAATTGCATTTTTCATACAATTTTCAAACTTAGCATGCGTGTTTTTCCCCATTAAAGGACCCTTAACTCCGGAAATTTACTCACACTGTGTTATTTGTTCAGAACTGCCTAGGTTATGTATTCAAAGAATTATAAACACGTATAATTGCTAATTGACAATGTATTTTAGATTTGACTCAAATTATACCAATTGAAGCATTATACATCCTCAAATGGTTTAACGAGTATGACTAAAACAGGAGCTTTGACAACAAATACGTAGATTCATATACAATATGTTACAAACTTTCCATTAAATGACAACGCATAAGAGAAATGTTTTTATTTGAGGTTAGTTAAAACTTGAAGCATACGATTTGGAAACTTTGCATGAATTCACAAATGAACAATGTGGACCTTGTACTTATGACCAGTATAAGACGTCACAGCACCAAAACATAAAAGTGGAATAGCATTTAAAAATTCACAATGAGTCAAGTTAAGTCTGAAATATTTGGATGAATAACCAAAACTTTGAAAGAAGATCTGCTCGAGAGAGGATGTAATAGCTTGTAAAACACAGAAGGTTCTAAGTATCCTACAACCTGGATATGATTGAGTTTAAAACATTTTCCTTCTTAAAAAGATACAATCAGTTGAATTGACATGAAACAAAAACTTCCAAAGCGTAATCTTCCAAATGTTAAGTTGGTTTAACTTACTCGCATACGACTCTTTGGAATCCAAAGAACAAACTAAAGCAAAAATATATTAAGGATCCGACCTGCAAACATTTTAACTTGGTTAGAAGAATAAATTAATTAAAATATCTACTGTAAGAAGTTGTAATACCGAAATAACACCTGAAGTTGGTTTAATATTCTAAAATACATTGCGCATGAACGTAGTAGAATAAGCATGCAATCAAGGGGGTGGAATAATTCACATGCTTCGAATAGCATGCAGTTTTATTCATATGGCATTACAACTTTCCCTTTCCAAAGTGTAAGTTATTCACAAACACTTCATTGGTTAGTGTTTTAATGATACTGAAAATATCCACATTGGAGGAAGAAGTATCCAAAATACGTATTGAAAGTATAATGAGGTGTTAGAAATGTTCTGAGAATCTGTTGAAATATATATGCTCTTTGTTCGATTTTTGTACTATATTAAGTTTAATTTGATAATAACCAAATATATCACAGCTATAGCACCAAACATTTCTTTAATTTAAGAATGTACAAACTCCATCATTAGCTACAATATAAAATAATTAGAAACATTATATAAAAATAGTAACTTACATAAACTAAATATGTATATTAATGACCAACAACTACTTATACTTGCCGAGACTCTCACTTTGTCTCCAATGATACATGGGATTTCAATGTGTAAGTAATTATCATTTAGTTGATCGTTTATAATAATGATTTGTCCAGTTCAGTAAATTATACGAACATAGAAAGTACTCAATATGGGATAAAACTTTAGAGGAAAATGTATTTCCCGATCACTATATTGTTTCTTGAATATGCTGATTAATTCTTTAAATTTTCCGTGTTTTTATTAGAGTGCTCTCCGTTTCCTTGATTTTCATGCATACTGTTGTCATTTAAATGTTCCATAAGCATGGTGTGGTAATATTTTGTTTCACAATAACTACAGTGTTGATTTTTGATTCATTTTTATAAGCTACATTCTTTTTACTCAATAACATCAATATTTTTATCATTACCAAAATGTTTATGATTTTGTATTTGGTTCGAAACTTTGAGCTAGATTTTCTAGCTAGTGACATATTTTATCTAAGTCTTCAAAATGCCCTTTTAGAGACATTAATGAAGATTTTAATTTTATGTCCTCATGGAATTCGTTCTTGGTTGTATTTGACATTTCATCGGTATTACTTTTGTTTTTAGTGTAAGAATTATTTCAAATGGAGCTTCCTAATAAATTAATCTGTTTCAAGAACATTCTTAATATCTGGAAGGATGTGTCAAAGGAAAGATGAAAGATCAATTTTTAATATATATTGAGCTATTCGTCAGTACCATTTTCAAGTTTTAGCTCACAGAACTGAAAATATGAAACACCGTATTTAAAATAAACCTATCAAACTAGATGTGTTGTGAATATCCACTAAAAATGTAAGAAGTCAGTCAGTAATGAATTTTACAGCATATTAAATAAAATCAAATGAAGAAAAAGTATGTATAAAACATTCAAGAAAATATATAGTGACAAGTCTTCCTACACTTTAGGTATTAAAATGTAAATAATACAGTCGGGCGTTTCTTTGGCAAAGAAATTTGTTGAAACGTAAAGTATTCAGGGTGAAAGGTGTTAACATTTTGAAAAATTACTGGTACTCGTAAAGTTACACATTTGTGAAAACATTGAAACAGCTAATTTATTTAAATTTTTAATCCGTGTTCGTACTACATGTGTTTTCTGCTTGTACAAAACAAAATACGGTATTTCTTTATTGGCTTCGACTTGTATATTTTTCCTAATTATAAGTATGACGGACTTACCTTACTTACTCGTACCTCACCTAAATCATTCGCTAAAACTTTGAAAAACTTATGATAAGTTAAGTAGCATTTTTATATGCCTAAACTTTTTAAATTACAAAGTACTGTCATATTAAAAATAATAACTAGTTAAATCGAAGCCAAGTTTTCAAATCAGAGATATGATGATGAAGAATAAAGTTAAATCTCTATGACTAAAAAAATTAGTTATTAATTGATTAATATTTCCATATAACGTCATTTAATATTTGACAAAAATAAAATACATTGATCAGTTAGCAAATGCCTTAATTCAAAGCCAGAAATATAGAGTAAGCGAAATTGGTTTAATGTTTCAAATGTCCAATGTTATAACAGCTATTAAAACATCTGTTTTTTATATCAGTTTCCTACAACCAAGTAAACATAATGTTAAAAAGAGCCAAGCTTAAATTGTAATAATACCATCCAACTGATATATTAACTTAATTGCCAACAAATACCGGTGTACATGATTGAATGCAAGGTGAATAAAGATATAAATAGCAAAGCACATGGTTAATTGTAAGAGAAAAATAGACACGACG